AGTAGGTAACAATAGATTGTATTGTTAAATAGGTAAATTATATCGAGTAAAATTTTTAAATTTTGTTATTTATTTTGTATATTATATTTGCTTATTTAATATATTATTACATAATGTGATAACACATACAATATAATTACAAACACACATAATTAGATTTTAATGATATTTTTATCTGAATATTATAAAAGGCAACTATGTCAAATATAAAAAGAACATACTAAATGTATGTTTAAAAAACTTATTAATATAACATTTAAATTACAAATATATATATATATATATATATATATATATATATATATATATATATATATAGAAATGTGAGAGTTAAAAATGGACGAATTTATTCTACTTTGATTTTGATGTGGAAACCTAAAAATAAAATAAAAGAATAATGAGCAGATTTAAATATAAAAAATTTGTATGTATATTAATTTATGATTACTTATATATGTTTCTACAAAAAATGTGCATAATAATATATTCGTCATATACTTAAGTACCCACAGAAATGTCGCATCTGAAGAAATTAATTTCATAATCTATATTCCATGATACGAGATGGCTTCTTAGGAACAATTTGTTTCATTATTACATACATAAACACTCATGCCTGTCACCCAGAGGGGTAGTCAGAGACTACAGACTTCCATTTGGCACGATCCTGACACCTCTCTCGCCTCCTTCACATCCATACACCTACGCATACATGCTGTGGTTGGGTACTCCTAATTTGGCCCGTTTTCAATAAATCGCCAATTTGGTCGATAAATTTTCGCCTAGGACGTCCCTTTCTTCACTTCTGCAACATAAATTTTCTTTGTCACTCTTTCCTCATTCATTCTTTCCACATGACCAAACCACCGAAGCATTCCTTTCTTAATCCTGGTCACAACATCATCTTGCAAACCACCACTCTTCTCTTATTACACAATTTCTTACCCTGTCGTTCAGATTTAGCCCTAACATACTCCTTAACGACCGTATTTCTACTGCGTTGATTCTACTCTCGTGCTTCTTCTGCCACACTCAACTTCCACTACCATACGTTAAAGTAGGGACCAACACAGCATTGTGAATTGCCATACATGCCTTTTTTTGACACATTTTGACTCTTCACAATAGAGTGCAAGACCCCATTTACTCTATTTCCCGCATTCACTAGTCGTTCTATATCCTTATCATATCTCACATTACTGCTAAATACGCAGCCAAAATATACAAACTCATATACTAGATAGATCAACTCCCCTTCTATTTTTATTTCACAAATCGTTTTACTTTCTTCTCTTTCAAAAACCATAACCTTCGTCTTACTTGCGTTTACTTTCATACCCCTTTCTTTTAATGATCTGTTCATTAATGTAACCATCATTTGCAACTCGGCCGCCGACGATGCAAGGATAACTTGATCATCGGCGTACAAAATGCATTTGACGGTTAACTCACCAATTCTTAAACCGCATTCTTCAACTTTCAAATTTTGCAAACAACTGTCCATAAATAGGTTGAACAGCCACGGGGAAGCCATACAGCTCTGTCTGACACCTTTATGGATGTCAAAACAGTCCGAGTAGACCCTGTTGATCCTAACACAAGCACTAGAGTCCCTATAAAGAGACTCCAATGCCTGTATCAAGCCAGCGCTCAACCCAAATGAGTTCAGTGTTTGCCATAGCACATCCATATCCACTCTGTCATAAGCCTTTTCCAAGTCCATGAACGCACAAAATACCTTTTGGTTTTTGGCCAAAAACTTCTCCGCGATTATGCGCATGGAAAAGACTTGATCTGTACATCCCATTCCCTTTCTAAATCCCGCTTGCACATCCCAGATTTTTCCATTAGTTTCTTTTATGACCCTTTCAATCAGTACCTTAGCATACAGTTTTCCCACAATGCTAAGAAGGCTGATGCCACAGTAGTTTTTACAGTCCTGCTGCGACCGTTTTCCTTTATATACTGGGACTATCACATCTTTGCACCAGTCTACCGGTACCCGATTAAGTTCCCAGCATAAATTAAACAAGGTGTGCAGCAGGCCTGCCACCACTTCCTCTCCAGCCCTTAGCATTTCGAGTGAAACTCTATCATATCCGGCAACCTTACCTGCTTTCATGCTTTTCATTGCTTTAATTATTTTATCTATACTTATCTCGCTACCTCTTTCCTCTTCTTTCGGAGTTTCTACTTCATTTAATTCATACGTTATCTCATCACTTATAAACACTCTTTCAAAATATTCCTTCCATCTCTTTAAACTCAAAACTTCATCATTCAGAATATAGCCATTCTCGTCTCTTATAGCATTCATTATAGGCTGTTTTGAATGTCCCCTGGCAGTTCTTATAAGTTTCCAGAACATTTTAATATTTGCCTGGAAGTCATCCGATATTCTTCTATCATTCTTATCCGTTCTTTCTTGCTTTTTTCTTTCAACTACTTCTTTTACTCTCTTATTAAGATGTCTAAAGACTGCCTTTTTTCTTTCAATATCATCATTCGTACCGCTAGAATTACCAGCCTTTGTTGCTAGTAAATCTAGCCATGCTCTCTTCTTTGCCTCTACTTCCATACGTATCTCATCATCCCACCATAACGTATTATTTTTGCTTTTATTCCTACAGTCTTGGGCTTACACATTCATACTCTTTCACATATTGGCCCATTCTTTCTGAAATGATGATACCTACTCCCTGGCATGCCCGCTCGATCTCGTCGACACCAGACCAGTATGCGGTATACATGCCATGTGTAGTGACATCCTTCCCCTTCCTTTTCTTCTCATTTACACATAACACATCTATTCCTCTATCATACATCATATCGCATACTTCATTGCCACACATACATTCAACCTAGCCAGACGGAACTCTGAAATCGACTTTTCGCCTCTCCGGGAGACAGAACGTGACGGGTGGCGAACCTCGTCGCCGGTTTTCCTCCCGGAGATTCTACGCACCCGCCGCTCTTCTTTATTCTCGCGGCGCCGGGAACTCGGGGCCATTTCTTTTATATGGTTCCTCATGGTCCGAAATATGGGGTAGTATATTTTACGCCGCTACCACGGTGTGGAGCCGAGTCTGTGGTATCGGCTTGTCGCTCATTTAGCACCACCCGGGGGACACGTGTAGGGTGGGCCTAGGAATAGGTGGTCAAAGCCTACGGACGCGAGCGACTTATCTCCCTATTATATCCCCCCCTTTCATTATTAATCTATAATATTTTTTTATTGATTAAGTATCTTACTAACCGATAAAAAGGTAATCCTTGGTATTTGCTAACATTACTTAAATTATTTGTGCAATATCTAAAAACACACCAGGGCACATTTTATCGAGATTATTTTTAAATATAATTATTCAACACGAGTCAACTCACTAGCGCCTAGTGAGTGTAAGTGACTGAGTAAAGTGCGACGCACTGACGCCGCAATTGAAAGGTAAAGCGAAACTAAATGCAGTGTCGCCTCTAGTACGTAGTACATAATAGCTCAATGGATTCTACAGTCCTTTCAGTGGTGTCAAGTTGACAGCCGTTATATCAAAGTGCCAAAAGTTTTTATATAGTAGGAATATGATGGTTTTCCTAATTGGAAACAAGAGTACGAACCTTATCTAATTGCAAGGATATGGTATTAATATTAATGGTGAGGTTTCACTAATTTTCAATTCGCCAAAGATATAGGCCTAATGGACCGTAGCACGATGCCTAACGACCTTAATAGATAAAATAAAATAAAAGTCATATGTAATGTCCACGTCACACCTACATCTTCCAAAACCAACAATTATAAAAAGGTGGTTGGCAACCCAACTGTCAATAGATAATCAATGGGGGACGTCTATCGAACGAGCTGGTTTCTTAAAAGACTTTAGTACAATAGACCATTTTTTTTTTTTTTTTTATATATACTATATCGTGGAATTTAAGTAGGTCTTTGATTCTATGCTAAGCGCTTATAGTATAGCATGTTGTCAGAGACTTGATGCCTTAGTCGAAACAGGTAGATTGCGGGCCTGATCTTGATCATTATGGAGTAACATTCATAATAAAGCAAATTTACTACTCATAAAATTAAATCAAGATTCCTTTTGGTATATAACTGATTATGAAGATTCTTATTTAATAACGCTCTATTGACGTATAAAAGTTGAAGATTTAATAGACGCTCTTCTGTTACTACCGCGGACACGATCAAAAGTAACACAAGACAAAAAACATTTTTGGTTGTTGCTACACTGGCAACGTTACAATGTTTACCATGAAAAGTATGAGTAGCTTTCCGTGTGTTACTGTCAACTGATTAACGCGAGCTCATCGCATCGCCTCATAAAATACTGTTACGAGCTTGAGGTTCATGACAATAAAAATTGCCGATTGAATTACCAAAATTTACACTTTTATTACCGAACACCAATTAAAACTTAAAACACACAATAATTAATCACACGGATTCATTTTATTTCGCTCAGAAGCTTCGGTTGTGTCGCCAAATTCAATACTGTCCCGATCGCGGCTATCAACGGCTTTATATAGGTCTCTTCCACTGAAACATCCAGAATATTCCAGCGAATACGGACGCCGATCGACCAGGCGCAGAAAGTTCGAGTGTGGAGCTTCTAAAAAGCTTAATTCTTCTACCCGCCACTAGATGGCACCGTTGGGAGAGTTCCGGAATGATCTTGACACTCCTATTTCTGATAATTGAAACCAGATGGCGCTAGTGCCATCCACTGTGGCGCGCAACAATACTAACTATACTACCAGGTCTAAGGATCAGTACTCAGTAATTGGGGGAGGAGCAAATCCCCCTCTCTCTTCTGTTTTCACTTTTGGCATTCATAACTGCCTTCTCTGTTATTTACATTAAAGTGTCGAAAGAGCATGTATAGTTCTGCCCATAGTTTTAGATTAAAAAATTAAAACGCAAGGAATATCCTAGTAAAATTATATTTTTTCAAGTATTCGTATGTGAAAAGGCATTAAAAATTACTTCAAAACCATGGAAGGCCGTTGCAATCACAGTCACATTTTCCGCAAATAGAGACGGTTCCAGCTGCGGGCACTCCGCCTCCGAATCGCACGGCACCTAGTATCGGTACGTGTCCAGCGACTGTGGTGACGCCTGCGACTGGCAGCTCGCCAGCGATATACAAGTCACCTGTACCGACTCCACCGTAGGCTCCGACGACTTCAGTACCACTCCATCCGTAGCCGTTGCCCAAGTTATTCATGATGCTAGGACCATTTAATGCCCCGCAGCCACAACCAACATTACCTGACCCGTGACTCCACCCGTAGTCGTTGCCTAAGTTATTGATGATACCCAGTCCATTTCTTCCCCCACACCCACACCCATTATTTCCTGCTTCATATCCAATCGCATGACCCTGTTGATGGCACTGGCCAAATACTTCCTAAAAATTCACGAAAATATTGGTATGAAGTCATTTAAATAAAAAAATCAAGTATCATTTTAAATATCTTTATTTAAAATGATACTTGAATTTTTTATTTATGTTGTTTATTAAACTATTTCTTACCTCTACGACGCATGCGTAGAAGCACAACAATAGCCCAAAATAGAAGAATGTAGACATTTTGGTTTGGTGTTCGACAGACTAACGATTGCTACTTACGTCTATGCTTTTATACCATTCTGTGTACAATCGTACTTACGTATTCTATTATTTCGTAATTATTTTACTCATGAAAATATAATTGATATACTATACGATATAGGTTGTATACTTACCATTAGTTCCTAAATAATTTTCATACAGAGATATTATTTTCGTATTGCGTTAATATTTTCTTCCTTGCAGCTCACGTGCGGTTATGATAAGCTACCATGTTTTGCAAGTCTGTACTTTTGCAAGGTGTGCTTGTAACTGATTAACGTACCATTGTTTGAATATAAAAGTGTAATGAAGTCTTCTAAAATCATTCCGTCTAGTATTAAGGAAAGCAAACAGGATGTCTGCTACAATTTAGTATTTTCTTGTGTTTTCGGTTTATTTGCACCGGTAAGTAAAACCTTAATTGATTCTTACTTGTGCTCATGTCGTTATTTTTAACCTTAACGTTTAACCGTAAAGACTTGTTTTTTACGCTTTAGCGTGGCTCTACCATGAATATATTTTTGAATCCTTATAATTCACAAATAAATCCGCAAAACCCATATCCACAAAAACAAGACCTGTGGTTAAATAATCTGAAGTGCAATGGTGCATGGCATTAGACATATAAAGACACAGAATAAATAATATTACACCGTAATAAAGGCCTAAGATCTTACAAACAATGGGAACAAGCAGATTCTCGAGTGGTAGTCTTGTGTCGACAAGTGTAGAATTTTGCGACTTCCCACTAGATGAAGTGGCGACCTGATAAATCATGTGATCTAGGACCGTTAAAGTAACGTTTAACGTTACAGCCTATATACGTCCCACTCCTGAGCTCAGGCCTCCTCTCAAATCTGAGAGGATTTTAGGGCAAGGAATAGTCCGTCGCGCAGCCCCAATGCGTGTTGGCGAACTTCACATGTCTTCAAAATATTTTTTTTCTTATTTCTCGGACATGTAGGTTTCTTCACGATGTTTTCCTTCGCCATCGAGCATGTGAAAAATCAGCACTTAATTGCAATTAACAATTTCATTGACGCCGGCGGGGATCGAACCCGGTTTGGTCGCGTATTGTGAAATTTACAGCGAGCGCTAACTATCTGAGCTACCAGGGCTCTCTCTAGGACCGTGCTTTGTGGCAATATGTGGACGAGGCTTATGTTAAGACGTGCATTTGTTATGGTGATGATAATTTATGTGCGGAGAAAACAAAACCAATTCTAACACTCCCCCCCTCTATATAAATAATATATGTACTACAATACACCCCTTTTAAATAACATTATATATTTGTGACCAGGATAAATAAAATATCTTTTGATGTTTCAAAAGGTTTAATAATAGGCCGTTTGTAATATTTTGGCGTGATCGTCTTAGTTAGGAACCCTATTTACGTTGTGTTTATTTAGTAACTTAGTTCTTTTAGGTATCTTTTAGAAGAATGAATATTCACTAGAGTAATTGAAAGATGTTGGTAGTGACTTATAAGCTTAGTGAACCCCGTTCACGAAGTCAGGGCTCGAGAAAGGTTAAGAACATAAAACGGCCCTATTCTACTTGTATCAGGTTTACATTATTAATTTATTATTATTTATCTCTTCCCGCTTGGAAAAGGCTCACAATATATTTATACAAAATAGCCGATTACAAGGGCTTCGCTCTTCTACATTTATTTAAAAAAAATTAGGGGAGGCACACGGCTCCACACAAGCCGGGCGCGGTGAGCGCCAAACATTTTGATACACTCCCCCCGAAGGGAACGCTAATTCGGGAACTGGACCGTAGTCCACAGCAAAATAACTGGCGAACCAGTAAAAGAGGCTTGGCCCCTTGTTAGTGCGTATGCACAAACATCGACCGAAGTCGCGCATGTCAATGCTTGTAAACGCAATACAGAATACGAACGAATCCAGCCACAGTGAATGTACTTCACACGGTTTAAGCAAATAGGCAAACTGGCCTTAAACCCTCCATGAGCGCCACCAACTGCCAGACCGCCGCTACTGCAGACGTGATGTAAGTGTATGGCATCACCACCAATTGCATGATCAGCATGGCTACTAGCCGCAGAGCGTATCATGAGTCTACCGCTCACCTCAAGGGAATGGGGTCCCACGTTGTGTGGCTTTCGGGCGCAGCCTTGAGAGTCTCCTCAGATCCTCCCTCCAGCTACCACCCACATGAGGTCGACACATATGCTCCACCAACCCATACAACGACAGATATAGCCAAAAGGCAATTATAAGATGTTACTAATAATTTGCCATCAGAAAGGTTTTGTGTCACTGACGTTGAGCAAATGCATTTTCGATCATGTTTGTCTCACACACCAACAATCATTCAAAGGTGGGAACGTTACAGAGACATATTATTATGTTGTTATATAAAACATCATGGAGGTCGGACAGTCTGCAGCCCCGTAATGAAGGGAACCGACTTGGGTAAAGCTACTTAGGTGTGAGTCAAACCAAGACGCAGAGAGCGCCATTGAGAATAGCGTCCCACCAAACAACCATTTAAGAGACGCGATGCTGCAGAACGCAACAAGCATCAATACGACTATTGTCGGGCTTACACCATCCTAAGGTCCTCCATACATAACCACCCGCATACCTCCATCGACCAGAACCACAAAAATGCGTCGAATCAGGCGCAGCACACCCGCAGATCCATCACAAGACGCAATACCACAAGACGCAGTAAGCATCAATGCAACTATAATACGGATGGCGCCCCCTCACAACACACCCATATGATCCCTATCGACTTTGGTAACAAAGTTTGTCTTGTTGTTAACTAAAAAATATCACCAACGTATCATAGTAGCATGCTACTAAGACGCCAGTGAACAAAATCATATCATAGCGCTATTGCACTAAGACATGAAGTTGAGTATGCCTGTTACACTTAAAAGTGCTACCAAACACACTCATCCCAATCCGAAAGATAGACGACGCACCGCTATGCGCTACGACGCCGTCCACAAACGGTATGGGTGTGCGATGGCCACGTGAAAACCGTATTGCTACAACAAACCCGCTTACCACCGGCACTAAAATGATATGTCTAGGACACATCGATTAGCGAGTCCAAGTTTACCTCGGATCAATTGCTCGTGAAGCAGCATACACACCACCACAATAATCCTTTTCAAGTCCCTAATAAAGGACTAGTCATTTTGCTACAGTACTAAGAGCAGTCGGTCACCCGACCACCCCATATAATGCTTATGCATCAAGGAGACCTTCTATAATAATGCTTTTGTATCATAGACCTTACTTTCATAAGTAATTAATATATAGGACTTCAACCCACTATTCTACTATTGTAATGCTAATTCATCATAGAGACCTTCTATAGTATTGCTTTTGTATCATAGACCTTACTTTCATCCTTAGTCATTAATATATAGGACTTCAACCCACGACCCTACTATTGTAATGCAAATTCAGCATAGAGACCTTCTATAGTATTGCTTTTGTATAAGACATCTAAGTCCCTAATATAGGACTAATCATTGTGCTACATTACTTCAAGTAGTCGGGCACCCGACCACCTCATATATATGTACAATAACAGTGGGTATGCGTTTCCGGGAGCTCTTCTATACAAGCAAAATTTTCTTTTATACGCGAACTCCGTCCATGACTTAGACAATTTTTAACAAATTTTCTAATTATGTTATAAATGTTATTTATCTTTATTTGTATAATATTTTCGACTTGTATTTCTTTTATTTATCATATATTAAATATTTTTACAAGTTTTTAAATAAAAATTTATTTATTCTGAAAGACAATATTTTGCCTAAAATTTGTCTAATGTCTGAAATGTATTTATCTTAACTTTATGCTTATTAATATTATTTTATTGTTATATATATATATATATATATATATATATATATATATATATTTATATATATATATATATATATATATATATTTATATATACAGGTTGTCCCAGAACTCAACGTCAAGCCGAAACAGGGTGACAGGAATGATTGTTAAGATCATGAGAAAAATCAGAAAAAAAAATCTATCCCATGCAGTTCGGAAATTATGGGCATTTAAGAAAAATCTAGAATTTTGGTGAAACTGTAACCATTTTTCGGTTTTTGTGGTTAATTTTCATTATTTTTGTTCATTTAAACTTTGGAACCGTAACCCTAAATAACATTTCTAGAACAACAGTCAAAAATAATGATAAAATAATGCCCCAAGTTTTCTAGAATTAAGACTATTTGTTAAACTATGAATTTAAATTTTTTTTACATTTGTCGACTTTGAAAGGTCCTCCTTTAAAAAAATATACTAAAGTGTGTTGGCAAGTGCCATTAAAAGTTTGCGCATTTAACAATCATTGTAAAATGGTATAATACTTGTTAGTTTCATACTAAAAAAAAACTAGTTAAAAAATAAAAACATCGAGTAACCCGATTTTTGCTAACCCATTTTACTTAGTTGAAATGTTTTTTATTCACACAAGCTCTTGTTAGGTTCTTAATTTTACGGAAAAATGATGAGAGAGATGGATAATAGACATGATTGCCGTGAGCGACCGAGACAGATAGTGACGCCACGCAATGAGACGGAGATGCGTCTGACACCAGTTAGTACGATTCGCTCATTCGTCTACTGCGCACCTTTCTGTATTCGCTTGTGTTGATTTAGTTCTGACAACTTGGCTTCTCTTTTTAGACTTAGATCATTGTGAATTGTACTTGTTGATTACATACCGGGCAACTTTGGCTTCTCTATTTTGGAATTGCACTTTTGGCTTCTCTTTTTGGACTTAGATTATTGTGAATTGGACTTGTTGATTACATACCGGGCAACTTTAGCTTCTCTCTTTTGGAATTGCACTTTTGTGTTGGCATCCTTGTTATCTACCATGCCTACGTGCTACACTTCACAAGAATATGCCAACATGCACCTCATTTATGGGGAATGCAGATGCAACGCAAGTGCCGCCGCTAGACTTTATCGTGAAAGATATCCTACTTTAGAGCGTTATCCGGATCACCGCGTGTTTGTTAATGTGCACCGTTCACTTACGGAGGGCGGCCATTTCCCGAATCAAATAAGGGCTGGAGGTAGAGCTCGTTTTCCTTACGAGGAAGAAGTGTTGCAA